CAATAAATCATAAGATTCAAGGTGGATGCTAAAACTTACGGCTGATTTTAATCTCTGAATTGAATGATCTTTTCTGTTGTATAGGAAGGTCAGACCCACGTTGGTTCCAAGGGCGATAAAGCTTGTGTTGGCATCAATGCATGTCAAAATCAGATCACATGACATTAACAATCCATGTTGCGCCTTTCTTGGAATGTGGGACAAAAGACTATCAAGTCTTTCAAATTCCTTTAAAGCATCTTCCTTTCCATCAATGATGCTGTTAGATTTTTCTTTGATGTCTCCAATAGCAGAAGAAGCCATTTTTTAAACATTAATGGCCTCTGCTGTTTGAAAAATAATTACCCAATGGTAATAAATGGATAAATAAAGAACTCATTGTCCCTGAAATTATAAATAGAAAAGTTCAAATTATTCATACAAGCACTCTGGAAAACAATGTAATAACAGTCAATTCCACCAATTTAAATTTAAAATTTTTTAAAAATTTAACTACAATTTGTAAATATACCAAAACTTATTTTTAAAAGACATTTCAAGGCAAGATGAATGAAGCTATTTATGCCTTTTAAATGATTTGGGCAAACGATAATGCTTTTTGAATTTTACAATTTTAATTCTTGAAAAGGCCCCTTTTAGTAATTGTCTCGGAAAAAAAAAGGAGGGGGCTGCTCGTTCCTGCACTTCAGGGGGTATGTGTTTACAAATTGCTATCTGATTTCAGGTAATTTATTTTATATTTCATATGCACCCTCCTAAGGGTTAATACAAGTCAGATGAAAAAGAGGAGACGAAAAATTTTCATCATATCCGATTATCAGCCCATAGCAGGCTCCTAAGGCTACGCCAATGTTAAGTGTGGTACAAATAAAAGTACATTTAAACAACATAAAAAATGTTTGTATTATAAATAGTTTTAATTACAAAATTGTATTAAGTGAGTGTTCAGTACACATAACATACATTGACTTTTGCGTGCAAATATCAGAATCAGGTAAAATTGCTTTTCATAAGCAATAACTGCAGTCCAATGATTTATAACTGTTGGTGCTTGACAGCGTGAAAAGCCAATATGCCTTAAGCTGCTGAAAAAGATTCATCCTTTTGAACCTGAAGTTATGAAAAATTTGGTAACTTCGGTAGATGAAGTTTTTCCGACAACACTCTTTAACATTCCACTGCATTGCTGGCATCCGTCCGTCACAATGTGACGATGGAGTGGGCTTCGGAGGACGAAATCCACATGGCCTGGGATTATACTTTAAGGATTATAAGCTGGTTCCCAACAGCAAATCGCCTCTCTCCACGCCGCTGGGTAACCCAAGGGAACATCATTGGATGATACAGCTTGGCACCAGTGACGTCGCAGGAGTTGTCGGAATGTTTCATTGTATCAATGTTATCCGCCTTTCGGGACTCCATCTCCAGGTTTGATTTCAGAGTTTCCTTCTCTTAGATGAGTTGCCATCCAAGGTTAACGAGTCCCATCTACCCGGGGTGCTGGTGGTGTTTTTGCTTGACTGGGCTCTGGCTGGAATTGAACTCCAGACTACCAACTTGAGATTTGCTCAGTTTAGACCACTCGGCCACCCTGCATTGCAACATGCGCCTATAAGTATAAATCCAGTTCACCCTTGTTGGCAAAATAGATATAAGTTCCGCAGACGAGCAAGGAAACCTGGGTATTAGGTTTTCAGTGCATCTCAGGTGTCTGTAAATAAACACTTATGTTTCTGCGTTCGTTTTTTTATCAAATTTTTGTTTATTCACTTGAAAAATTAATTACTTATCAATTAGTATGAACTACTGTTACCGTTATGCATTAATTTACAAAACATGGATTCCGGAATCTAAAGTTTTAGTGGTTACCTTCGTAACCCTTACCATTGAATTAAATAATGCTGGCTCACTGTGTTTAGTTCATGAAACAGAGTAGTATATAACTTACCAAAATTGAAAAGTAAGTAAGAAGGTATCAATCAGGGATAGACAGGGGAAAAACCCTGACAAAAGCCATAATTCTGGAAAACCTTTTGGGCAGGGGGCTAAAAAGAGGACATGACTGGGGAATGGGGAAACCATGGGCCATGGGGACACATGGTAATCCTAGACTAACACTCCCTTACATACTATGCACACTACCTAGCCTACCATCATAGTCATAGGCCCCTATTTTTTATAGTTGAAGTCTATAACTATAGCAGAACAGCCTATTTAATGACATAAAAAGTACATAAATGATAATAATAGATATAATTTGAGTAAAAATCTGTTGTCCTGCAATTGCTGTGACTGAACTGCAGCAGTTAGTGCAGCAGTGTGGTAGTCAGATAAGACTCATAAGTGACAAGACTTATTAATTAGCAACCAGACAGACTGTGTTGAGGCTGAGGGGAGCGTTAGAATAGGTTGAAGATTGGTGCCTATTTTTATTATTAATTATAATTATCAATTAATTTCAGTTTATTATTATTATTATTATTAGACTTAGACGCTTATCCGGCCTAGGAATTGCTTAGTACTAAGTTCTAGCTGCTATATCAACTGAGCTAGTCTATGTGAGTATGTTTATAATACTATTTTAATATTAGTTGGGAAAGCTACCTAAGTCCTAAGCCTACAGTTACAGTTACAGTTACTAGTTACAGTTGAGTTAGTCTACGGCTACAAGACAAGTAGTAGTAGCAGGCCTACTCTACAAGAGTTACCGCGAAATGACATAATAAATTATAAACATTAATTTAATTATTTGCAGTCCGCTGGCACCAGAGAACATAATTTTAATGTTAGATATTTTATCTGCATAATCATTTTAACAAAGTAAAAGATCGCAAAATAACTCACCGTTCAGTGTTTATCATGTGATTTTGTTTACTTCTCATTTCACCGCTCTTCACACAAATTGTTAAAATAGACATTTATATACCAGTACCGTTACCGTTTTATTCTATTCACTCATATATTTTGTAATTTTAAGTCAGTGGAACATTGAATATTCACTAGGGGTGTCTGCGTGCGGGAGGCAGTGTCAGGGGGCGCGGGAGGCAGTGTCAGGGGGCACGGGAAAACAGAAAATCAGATTTATTTGCAACTTAATTAGCGTTGTCTTAATTGTGGTCCCCGGGAAATATGTTTTGAAATCGAGATGGGGTTGAGGACAGGGCCGTCGCGTGAGTCTTGTAGCATTGTAGGCCCCCTAACAAGTTTCAGTTGTCACACTCATACTTTTTTTTTTCTTGCATTCCAATTAAATAGTTAAATTTTTTCCACATCACAACTTTAAACCCTTTGCATATCTGAAGCGGTGGTTAACTTTTAAAAGGTGCATTTCAATGTCGCTTGCCACACGCGACGGCGATGGGCACGGGGGGAAAATGTTGAAATTAAGGGGTGGGTGGGGTGTGCATCGCTGAAAAAAAAAAGTATTAAAAAAAGCCCCTCTAATAGAATTAATTTTTTTTTTAAATAATAGGTACACAGGAAATAGCATCAAATATCCTAATCTTTAATCAGAAAAAAAAAAATGGGCTCAATGAGAACAGCGCAGGGTTAACAGGCGGCAGATAAGTAGGATATATCCAAATGTAATTTTTTTGTTACTTTATATATACCAAGCCCATCTAGGCACAGACAATTACAATCGACTTGCAAGAAATTTCAAGAGATGTGCAACAATGTCAATGATAAGAAAATGTGTAACAGTGTTAATGTTAGGAAAATGTGTAACAATGTATGTCAACGATAGGCAAATGTGTTTTTAAATAGAAGTCAAAAAAATAATAAAAGGCGTTTTTTTCTTTATCAATTTCATGCGGCTATACACCAGTTTAACCCCCCCCCCCCCCCCCCCCC